TGTTTGAGTTTTTCAAATAAAATTGCCTGTACATCTCCTTGAAGGTAATTTTACTTCTTTTCGGGGGGGGGGGGGGCCCTTCTTGTAAGTTGTAAGGTTTATACCAGCTAGCTTTGTTATAACAGGTTGAAGCTTTGGATTCAAGTGTTATGATGTTCCATTTTTGCAAATGGTTCTGCTTAGTAAGAGGCTTTTATGGAGGATTTTGATTCCTGATCCCCTTGTCTTGCTAATAGATGAACTTATTAGGTGTATCAGTACTGTATCTTGATGTATGTTTTTTGTTGCAAATATGGTTCTGCTGCTGTTTATTATACTTGGTAAATTACATGTAAAGTATGCTTTATGTGGTTTCGGTATCTATGAAATTATCGTTTGATATCTTCCTGATGAACTTATTATCGGGGTAGTTGCCTCAGCTAGAGGTTTTGGCAGCTGGGTATGATTTGTAATAGAGCAGTGGTTCTCTAGGATGCTATGAAAGGCCGACTTTCAATCCCTTGGTGAATGAGTCATCAAATCGACTAAAAGTTCAAGGTCAGACAGGCAAGAAAGCCAGCATATCAGAAAATTTCTGGACCACTAGCACTTGTGATATGGATAACAGCGCAGTGCAATCACAGGGAAGCATCTCATTGATCTATCAGTACAAGCAAGCAGACACTTTATCCGCATGGCAGCGTTGCAGCTGCTAATGCCCACCGAATTTGTGAATCATGGCAAGTTCTTATTCTTTCGTTACTTAGGTGGTGTTTGTTTTTGCAAGAGGTAAAAAGTCTGCAGTCTGCGGACCACATCTACAGGCATCTGTAGGAGAAGAGATTGACCAAAAGTCTGCAGTCTGCAAGAAGAAGACTCTTTGTTTTTTAACGTCTGTAAACTGCTAAAATAAACTGAAATATAAATAAACTGATTTTTCAAACTATACTCAAATAACTATTTTTGCTATTAATTTTTTAAAAATTATAAAATATCATTAAATTTAATGAATTATTACAAAATAGTCACTATAATGTTGTAATAAATTATAAAAGTTTGATAATATAATAATTATTTTATAGTATTTAGATAAATTTATTAATAATTTTATAATCTTTTAATAAATTCAATAAGTATTTTATATTTTTTTAAACTTTATTGACGAAAATGATCATTTGTAAATAACTCAATGATATCTAATATACTTTATTTGAAAAAATATATTAAATAAATATTATATGAACTTTATTATTAAAATTATTACATCTACGGACTATTAGATTTTGGTTTTAATATTATATATCATTTTAAAAATTATTATTAAATCAATCGATAATGAAATCAATTTGATTTCAATTCAATCTGTTTGTTTCAGTTTAAGCAATTGTTAAAAAAATTATATTTTAATTCTCAATTATTATCGATTCGCAAATATATCAATACTCGATTTTATAATATCATTTAAATCATCTTAATTTATTCGAGTGGTACAATCCGATTCTAGTAACATAAAAAAATATATAATATATACACCATATAATATACATCAATTAGTATTTTTCTATTTAGAAAAAATATATTATTTGTTTTTTATTTATTTATTCTGTATAAAAGGACTTTCGTATTTTACCAGAATTAAATTATAAGAATCAGATTTTTCAATGGTGTGAATTTTTTTTATTAAAACATTTATTTTGTCTTTTAATGCTAATAATTGTATGTCCCCGTGATTTTCGAAGTTTTTATATAAATGTTTTTTAATAAGTTTAATTGTATAATATTTTTTACTAAGTTTAATATATTTTTTTAAATAAAGTATATTAGATATCATTGAGTTATATACAAATTATCATTTTCGTCAATAAAGTTTAAAAAATTATAAAAATACTTATTAAATTTATTAAAATATTATAAAATTATTAATAAATTTATCTAAATACTATAAAATAATTATTATATTATCGAACTTTTATAATTTATTACAACATTATAGTGACTATTTTGTAATAATTTATTAAATTTAATGACATTTTATAATTTTTAAAAAATTAATAGCAAAAATAGTTCTTTGAAGAGGTTAAAAAAGCTTTGAAGACATAAGTCCACGTCTGCATCAAGAAGAGGACGCGCAGACGTTAGAAGAACTTCTGTTTTCTAAAAAACAAACGGTCTGCGAAGCCCAATGTTTGCGCGTGGTCTGCGCGACGCAGACATAAAAACTTTGAAGACCTTAAACAGTGAAAACAAACACCACCTTAGTTTGGATTAACGTTTGTACGTGACAGTTCAATGAACTTATCTTGCTGTCTGGATAGCCATCTTTGGATATCTTTCGGTGCTAAAATAAGATGTGCCTGTCTATGCACCAACTAATACTGCACTTGATTGCAGGCCTTCTTATGTGGAATCAAATTTGGCGGCGCTGGGTGGGAAACAGGAAGTCTGAAGATCGGAAGCGAGATGTTTGAGAACCTAAACTAAAGTGAGTTATTGTCAGAAAATATTGATTTAGTGCTTTTATTATGTCTTGGTTTCAACTTTCAACTACCGTTCTTCCTCATAACTCTCATCCACTTGCAAAATGATCTGCGCTCGGATTTGTTTATTTTCTTCTATGTATTGTTTAAATTTTAGAAGTCATCTACAACTGCATTTTGTCCGGAATTACTAGATATGAAACAATTCCCACTTAACTAAGTTAAGCAGTGACTTTCATTTTATCATCACGGTTCATTTCTTTCATCCGGGCTATACAGAGGCTCAAGACATTATAGAACCTGTATCTTAGGTACTTAACTTTGAGATGGCATATTGTGGACTCAGGGAAAACAACTTCCGGTATAAAAGTATACGACCCTTTGATCATTTATGAACTTTTTCGTTATCTTGTCAGCACTCATTGTCTGTGCATGGTTAAACAATTCTGGCTTTGCAGTTGGAATGCAACTTACGAGAGTTTACTCAGAAGCAACAAGCAGTTCTCTCAGCCTATTCCTCTCCCTGTAAGTCCCAACACCAGCAAGCTCATGGAATCCCGAATTGTTTGCTTTCCTGATTCTGTGTTTCTCGTAAAAAAAATGACAGGAAATGATAGATTTCCTCGTGGACGTGTGGGAGCAGGAAGGGTTGTATGACTGAGCAACAACACAAGTGCATCTGAAAGATGGTTAGATATCCATATCCATCCGATTTCTTGTAACATTTGTAATTGCTTTAATAGGTGAAATGCATTAGAGCATAGACCGTAACAATTCATGGTCTTGCCTGCTTATGTTTTAATTTTCCTCCCCAATTCAACTGGCGTTTTGGACCATGCTATTTTATTTTCTCTGGAATGAATCCAGAACAGAAAAATACCCTCTGGTTTTCAAGGCAGCAAAATCTTGTTTATTTTTTGCACATTTTCGTGCTTAGTTTGCTGTTACCTTATTCATTTGACTATGTAATGATAGAATTATTGCGTTGAGTAAATGACGTGCGATTATTTTCTTTTCATAAAGAAAAAGCAGAGAGAAAATGATCTGTCGCATTTTCCTTGCCTGAAACGAGGAAAAATCCGAAAGGCAAAACTAAAATCTGAAACTGAAAGAGGGAGACCTGAGCTAACCTAACACATTCGTTTATCTTGCTGTTAACCAAGCCTGCAAAGCTTCAAAACTCACTGTCCACAGAGACATACTGCATGCATGGTTTTAATAACACAAGCAGTTGGCGTTTCCCCAAAAATATTTATAGATATACAGACATTGTAAATGTGGAGCTCACTTTTTTCTGCAATAATCAGGTAACTGATCTCAGAAATCAGAATCGAAAAAGGAGTCATCTTTCTTAAGAAACCAGATTCTCCAAGTACAGTGCTTCAGATTTTATATATGGTTGTGGTATGGAGCTAAATTGCAGCACCAATATCTTCATATATGCTATTGTTTTTTTTGTGTGTGTGTGTGATATCCACTATGCCATTTGTTTTTGTTTAGCTGAGTGGAAACTGTATTGGCATACATCAATTTAATACGTATAGACATAAAGTCAAAAAAATGCTCTAACGATGACTAAATTTTCATTTTGGTTTTTATATATTTTTTAGAGTATTTTTACCACAATATTTTATTTTAAGGTTAAAATACCCTTAACATTTGATTAAGTAATTACTATAACCCTTATTTCTTTTTTATGAATTTGATCACAACATGAGTGCATTTTTACTCCAAAATGAAATGTTAGGGGGTCAATGCTAAAAAATATAGACTAAAGTGACTATTTAATTAAACTTTTGAAACATTTTCTTATCATTATGCCTTACCTACAAAATTTTAATAAATGTCATAGAATTAAAAACACGTTTATGACTGCCTTAAAATCTCTATATGTAAGATACCACTCACCTTACGGGGGAGAAAGGTGATCCCTTTTCTCTCTTTTTTTCTGACAAAAAAAGGAGTTTGAGAGAAGGCAAGGGTGATGCTGGTTTTCAGGCACAAACAGGAGATTTCTGAAGCTCATAGTACTCTCAACAAAACAAATAAAGACAAGTTCCCAGGTTAATGCAGCTTCTCAATCCTGTCCGGTTGCTGTCACAATTGAAAACAAATGAAAAAAGTAGTGTTGTCTGTGCATGCCTATACAATTTCATGCGTTTTAATATCTAGGTATGCCTTTTTTTCAATTGAAAGAAAAAGCTTAGCTGGGGTAATATCAGTAACATATATATATATATATATATATATATATATATATATATATATATATCCTTCCATCCTCTTCACAACTTGTACCTTTCCTCACAAAACAATGATCCAAGTCGTTGAGGCGTTTAAAGTCAAGGGCACCAGTTTCCCAGAAGGACTAAGAACAAACAATTTCTTGCTTTTTCCAATGAAGAAGAGCTTTTAATTGGTGGACAAGCCATCTGCCCCATCAACATGTCTCCTCTTCCACAGGCAGAAAACTTTGAACTTGTTTCAAACATATATATATATATCCTTCCATCCTCTTCACAACTTGTACCTTTCCTCACAAAACAACAAAGTGTTCACATTAAGCAAATAGTGATGGGTGCTTCATCAAGAATCTACCCCAATGGTCTCAAACTTGCTATCACTGTGGCTTTCATTTTGTCCATTACAATATTTCTGATTCCAACAGGTAATAACAATCCAAAAACTACTTGGGTTAGGTTTCAGCTATTTCTGTTTTGATTCCTATTTTACTGTGTAGCCTAGGTTTTGCAGATGGGGCAGTAAACCCAGGTGGGTCGCGGCAAAGTAAAATGGTGTTGGGGTCAAAGCCTCCCGCTTGTGTGAACAAGTGCTTGAGTTGCAGGCCCTGCATGGCTACTCCTGTCATTTCTTACCACAAATGGAAGAAGAACAGCTTCGAAAAGGCAACGTATCGTGGCGATGAAGATGATAGCTATTATCTCCTGGCGTGGAAATGCAAATGTGGGGACAAGCTCTTTCAACCTTGATCTCATGCATGGTAACCACACAAAGCTCTTTTAAGTTAAATATATACTACTATAACATATTCAAACCTTATATATATATAGATGATATATAGTACCTACTACTTTATAAACTAAGGTTATAATTTTTAGTTCTTGTAAATGCTATTATCTATCTATGGTATACATTTATTTGAGAAACGATGATGATGATTTATGTAATTTTCAGTTTGCCAAGGAAGGGAAAACTTTAGTTTTCAACGTGGAATCTATCAGAGCATTTCTAGTACTTCCTACTTCCGATAATCGAACTTCATGCAAATCTGTAGCATGAAAAACCACACTGATCTCTGCCCCTCGCCTCATATTTTATCTCAAAGTGGGTGGTTTGTATATTGTATGTCATCGGAGTTCATAGGATTTTAAATTTGGGTTTAAATTATGGGTTTATATACAATGCATCTGTCTCTTAAATTTGTTGTTTGTGAACTACAAAATGCTCTATGTGAAAATGTATATATAATAATTATATTATATTTTATTATATTTGAAAGAGTAAACTATATCAAATACCACTCAATTTTAGGCGGTGTATCGTTTATATAACAAAACATTCAATTGTTTCAATTATAGCATTGAATTTTGATTTTGAATTCAATTATACCACCGAGTCGTTATATTTTAATGGCACAATGACGTGAACATATATTTTTTTCATTGTGATGGCATGGACAAAACAACATCGTTTTGACACAATTATTAATGTTAAAAATGACATTGTTTTAGGCATTGAACTTTTGGGGTGTATTAGTTTTGCGACTAAATTTTTAAAAAATTCATTTTTTACACTAAACTTTTTCGATCATTGTTGGCAGTTAATCGTCGCCTGTCACAATCACCCTCCGTAGCAAGATCAATATCAAAGTATTTACATTTAACTCCTCCATCTTCTCATTGGATTAGTTTTCTACAAAACCCACTCAAAATTAATAAAAATTCAATGTGTTAATACTTTGATTGCCTTCGATGATTGTCCAATGAGACTAACTTTGAGTAATACTATTCGTTTTTTAAAAATAATACTTCTTACTGTTTGAATTATCGAACAAGTAAAACCCCTTAAATATGAGAGTTTTAGAAAAAACCATAGAAATCTTTTACTAGTATATAAAAAACATTTAATTTGTTTTGACAAATAGGTGAAAAAATCAATTCATTTGCCAAAAGTTGCTAGGCCAATTTTAGATGTGAAAAATGAAAGAGGCCCAAAAAAGAAATAAGGGAAGCCCACTGCTATATAAGTGATATTTTTCTCAGTTTATGTGTGATTCGGTGAAATAGAAACCAGAAATGGAAATGCTTACCATTTGCTCCGCTTCAAGCCACCGTCATTTCTTCAGTCTTTTCATTTCCAAAAGTTTGATTTCAGATTCATTTCAAGCTTCTATCTTGCCCCCGAAGTTTCATCCCCTCCGCCGCCCGTTACCCTTCCGCCTCCTTTCGAATCGCACCACGCGTCCGCCACTTAGTATCTCAGCCGTCCCCCGTCCACCTTCTCCGCCTGAGCCAGTCCCCCCAGGTTTCCACCGTTTTCTCTTTCTTTGTTCTTGAATTTCTAAGTAATTATATTCATGCCTTTGTACTGTGATTAATTTGGTTTCTGTTAAGAAGCCTGGAACTTTGGATATTCATACCCTTGTTTTCCCATTCCGTATAACTAGCTGAAATTTGAATTCAATATTTTTGTGTGCTTTTGAATTCAAGATTCCGTTAGGATTATGGCAGTAAATGAAACGAGTTGAATCTGAGTATTATTGGGTTCAACTCTACTGGAAATGTTCAAAGCTGAGTCTAGTTCATCAGCTTAAGATTCTTAAGCTCAACTCAGATTTGATATAAAAAACTGAAGCTCAATTCGAGCTTGAAAAACCTTAAACTCAACATTTTTAGATTTAGCTCAGTTGGAGCTTGAACTTGAGCTCGTGTATCGATTAACTTGCTCCAGCTCGTTAATAAGTCTATTCTAATCGAGTATTGACCTAGTCAAACTTGAGTATCTTACTATCTGTTTTGTCTCATTAGCCATTTGTGGTGTTCTTATGGCTCATTTCCCGTGGAGCAGGGTTAGTGGGAGAGATGAATAGATTTCAGGATCATGCGCGGATCTTCTTTGCTGTTCTTTTCTGGATGTCTCTGTTCTTCTGGTACTCTGCATGGGACGGGAGGAATTCTGGTAAACCTAATAAAGGATCTGGATTTAGGAGGTGAACTAGTAAGAGATTTGATCCTGTATGTAAAAATGAGAGATAGATTAGTACTAGATGTACATGTGGAATATTCAAATATAGATAAAGAACGTCAACTTTGTTATTTCCTCTCTCTTTTGTTACTCCAGGGAAACATTTTCCTGTAATATCTCAGTGAATCAATGAATAAATTTCAAGGTTATTTCTTTTCCCTTCAAGAGGAAGATGAAAGTGAGACTTCACACACTGTAATTGTAATAGTTAATGTCTGCCAGAATTGCTGAAAATGGTGACCAGATGCAAAATTTTATATTAAGGGTGCCAACTTATAAAATTTGAAGGGATGAAAATATAAAAAAATATATTAAAAATATTTTTTAATAATAAAATATGTTTCAGTTAATATATTTTTTAATTTGAAGGGATGCAAATTTAATAATAAAATATATTCAATAAGTTAATATATATAAAATATTATGAATTTAAATTAAGCATTTATGCACTAGGATACAAAATATATACATTATGTTGTCTATTTTAATTTATCAAAAATAAAATTAAATTGAGAGAATATATAAATAATAATGACCAAATATGTGAGTATACCTAAATATCATGTTACATAATTTGTTGATTGTAATTAATCTGTGACGACTACATCTTAATTAAAAGTTAACTACATTGATGATCATTTATGTTTGTGTTTTGTCTATTTTTAGTCACTGATTTCAAAAAACATAAGATATAGTCACTTTTGTTTTTATTCAATTAAAATATTGTCATTTTCGTTTTTATTTAATTAAGACGTAGTCACCCCGAGTTAACTGCCTTTAACAACAGTTAAATATTTTGATATAATAACACATTTGGTCCATGTTATTTACATATTCTCTCATTATAGTCACACTTTTAATAAATTAAGAAAATTTTAATCCTCCATTCGAATGATGCTACATGTTATGTCATATAGGGGTGTTCAAAAATCCCCAACTTGTCGACCCGCCAACCCAGTTAAAAAATATCAGGTATTTATAATAAAAAATACTCGATTTTCTAGGTCAGGTATCTGACCATTATTTTTTTGGGTTTTTAGGACGGGCCTGGGTCACAAAATATTGGTTAACAGGGTAGTCAATTTATTATATATATATATATATATATATATATTATATTATATTATATGTTTTATTCATAATTCTCGAATTATTTCACTCTAACATTATAAAATCCTAATTTCTTAAATTTTGACACCATAATATTCTAAATTCTTAATTTCTTAAATTATTTCACGTTAACATTCTAAATTGTTTTAAAAATATTTATTTTAAATTCAAAACATTTGAAATTTAATTATATTTCTTTATTTTAATTTTTAATAAATTTTATTTCAATTATGTAATTTAAATTTTTAAACTTTATGTGTAACACCCTCAACCCATATCCGACCCGGATACGAGTCCAAGATGTCACATTGACTATGCAGAACAATACTCTATGAAAAAACGATAAAACATTTGAACTTATATTATTAAAATACAATAATATACATATGTTAATACAAGTTTATCAAAATACTCAGAGCATACACAACTTGACCCTTTGATTACATGCCAACATTCATTTACATAACAAAAGGACCTAATGGTTAAGTTACCTCTGATCTGATAGTTGCAGGAGTAGTGTTGTCCAGCTGCTTAACCTGTCTCGTCTACTTTCTCGGATCCTACGTGTGAAACACTCACACGCTAAGTCATCGACTTAGTGAGGCAATATAATAATAATAACAACAAAGAAATGTAATGAAAATGCCATAATAAAATGGAATGAGATGAAATCAAATACTTAACCATGCAGTTTATATCACCATGTTCCTTAGCTGTAAGCATAGTACATTAACATTCATGAATTCGTATTAATAAGATTATTGGCCCATGATACCATACTGAGAACCTAAGGTATGTGAGTACTGTGAGGTTGTTCACTATACTGTCACAACAGCTCGTATAAATGCACCGAAGTGCCATGTAGAATTGCACCGAAGTGCCGCGTAGAATTGCACCGTAGTGCCATATAAGATTGTCCCTAAGGACCACGTAGAAAATTCCTTAAGAATCATATACATATGCCAAGGATTAAGTATGTGTCTCAAAAGACCTCACACATGTTCCAAATAATACATATATGTCCCGAAGGACCGCGTAGACCCTCTACTCTTAGCATGCCAACTATACCTATAGTTCTCATCTACATAACATGAGCTTTTCCCAAATTACATAGTATATCACATAGACATATCATTTCCTTATCTTCATCACATGACTCATATAACTTTGCATACATATTCATTTAAAACATGTTACACAATGCACATAGTATGAATTCATATCATGCTTCACAATATGAAATGAATCATGCATCAATGTATTGAATCTAGACTTCTCACAAGTCTAGAACTGAATATATCGCTATAATCATGTTATGCATATGCACTCACCTATATTTCCTTGTTTTTTCCTCGATCGATCTTACTAGGCAATTGTTCTGGAACTTGTTAGGCTCTGTATCTACATAGTAATTCATTGATACTTATCAGTATACTAATTAATATATTCTAAACTATCATTTCTTGGGCTAAAAGAAAAGCCATTTTCATCTTTTAATGAATGTATGCATCGATGCACTACACCATGTATCGATGCATCCTTTGACGGGTGCATCAATGCACTATCTATGTATCGATACATAAATCATATTCGATGTTTGTATTTAAGGGGTGCATCGATGCACTACTTGCGTATCGATACACTGATGACATTCGATGTTTTTATTTTAAAAGAGTACATCGATGCACTTCATGTGCATCGATATACCTTGAACAATTTCTGGGATTTATCCTTGATGCATTGGTACACCTTGAATGTACATTGATGCACATTGCCCAGAAATGTCATTTTAGCACGAAAATCTCTTCATAATCTTCTCAACAATTTATGTTTCCCCTCTTTTTATATTCCTAACTTGCATACACTTACTTAAACTAATTATTATCCATTCAATACCTTTAAAACTTAGAAATCAAATCTTCCACATAGATTTCAAGAATCTCTCTCAAATTCCAACATGTTCTAAATATAATTCTGACCCTTCATATCCTTTAATTCCACTAATGACAAGTAAAATTTAGTCTTAAAATCTAATTAATACATTTCTATCAAGATTTCACTTATTCACCTCTTTTCTTTAATCCTTCCTAACTCCATCATCTTTTGATTTTAAGATAATCTAAGCTTTCCTTAAGCTTAGTTATCATCTAATGATCAATAAGCAACCTTAAATTCATCAAGAATTTGATCAACAAGAAAACTCACCTTTAGCTTGGCTTCACGGTGGAGAAGAAGAATGAAGAAGAAGAGAAATCTGGAAACTTTGGTCTTCCCCACTAACTTCCACGTGGTATAAAATATCCTCAACTAATATTTAATTATTTCCCTTATTAAAAGACTTATTTACCCCTTTAGTTCCTCATTCTTTGCTAATCTCTCTTACGCAAAACATTTCAATCAATTCTTTGAACTTTTAATTTATCCAATTTGGTCACTGAATTTTTAAATCTCATAATTTGATCACTAACCCGGTATGGAGGATGTTACAAATCTCCTTTTCTTAAGAAAAATTCATCCTCAAATTTTTATTGTACGAACAGATGAGGATATTAAAGTCGCATATCTTCTTCACGTTCCCACGTGGCTTCTTCTACCTTGTGATTTCTCCAAAGAACTTTGACTAACGGAACCGTTTTATTTCTCAATTGCTTAACTTCGTGGGCCAATATTTGTATTGGTTCCTTTTCATATGTCAAATCAAGTTGAAATTCTACTTGTTCTGGTGTAGCAATGTGAGAGGGATCGAACCTATATCTTTGTAACATGGACATATGAAAAACATTATGGATTTTCTCCATTTCTGGTGGAAAAGATAACTGGTATGCCACTGGTCCTATTCTTTTAACAACTTAATATGGTCCGATGAATCTAGGACTTAGTTTTCCTTTCCGACCAAATTTTAATACTTTTTTCCATGGTGATACATTTAGAAACACTTTATCCCCAACTTCAAATTCAATCTCCTTTCTTTTAAGGTCAGAATAGGACTTTTGCCGATCAAATGTCACTTTTAGGTTATGTTGAATTTTCTGAACTTTCTCTTCCATATCTTGAATCAAATCTGGACCAAGTACATTTCAATCTTTGAGCTCATACCAATTTAATGGCGTACGATATTTCCTCCCATATAACGCCTCATAGGGTGCCATTTTAATACTGGACTGATAACTGTTGTTGTAAGCGAACTCCGCCAGTGGTAAGTATTTCTCCCACGACCCTTTAAACTCAATGACACATGCTCGCAACATATCTTCCAATATTTGAATTGTTCTTTCTGATTGTCCGTCTGTCTGGGGGTGAAAAGCGGTACTAAAACTTAAGCGAGTCCCCAACGCTCCATGCAAGGATTTCCAGAATCTTGAGATGAATCGAGGATCTTGATCAGAAATTATAAAACAGGCACTCCATGCAATCTAATAATTTCTCTAATATATAACTCCGAATACTTTTCCATAGAGAAATCTGTTCTGACAGGAAGAAAATGTTCTGACTTGGTCAATCGATCAACAATTACCCAAATCGAATCTATTTTGTTTGGAGTCAGGGGTAACCCCGAAACAAAATTCATCGTTACATTTTCCCACTTCCATTGTGGAATGGAAAGTGTTTGCAATAATCCAGATGAAACTTGATGTTCGGCTTTGACTTGCTAACATGTTAAGCACTTGGACAGAAATTCAGTAATGCTTCGTTTCATCCCTGGCCACCAATACCTATCTTTTAAATCCATATACATCTTGGTTCCACCCGAGTGCATTATCAATGGACTGCAATGAGCCTCTGTCAATAAATCTTTCTTCAACTCTTTATCGTCTGGTATCACAATTCTTTCTTTATAATACAATTTCCCATTAGACTTCACCTCAAAATCCTTAATTTCCTTATTCTTTACTTGCTCTATTCTTTTCAAGCATATTTCATCTTGGCTTTGTAATTCTCCTATTTGGTCCAACCATGATGGTTTAAGTTTTAACTCTGCACATAGACCACCATCTCCAGTCAAAGATA